ACGTTAGAGGTCGGATTCATACAACCTAGTGTGAGGCATTTCTCTAGCCTAGTATTGCTAGTGAAATAGATTAAAAGAATAATGTGAATTGGTGTTTCTATGTGGATTATTGAGCGATGAATAAGAAAATAGTACCTGACTAATTTCTCATTCAGGTGATTGATGAGATATTGGACGAGTTGTTTGAGTTTATGATATTCTTCAAGATTGACTTGAAGTTAGAATACCATCAGTCAATTCAACTCACTAACACACCGACTACATTTCAGCCCCTAATGAATAAGGGATTTCAATTTTTCCTCCGAAAGTTTGTGTTAGTGTTCTTCGACGATATCTCAGTGTGCAACCATTCCTTGGAAGACAATATTGATCATTTGAAGAATATGTTGACAGTACTTAGTGAGCATCAACTCGATACTAACTTAAAGAAGTGTTTATTTGCCCATTCAAATGTGGAATAATTAGGAATTGTGGTGTTGGTTGCAGGAGCGTCAACGGGTTCATCCAAGGAGACGACTATGTTGAATTGGCCATTACCTTAAACCTTTAATGAAAGAATTTTTGGGAATCACATGATAATGTCAGAAGTTTGTGGAGGGTTATATTTGATCGCGTGGTTGTTGACAGAGCAACTGAAGACTTCTAGTGGGGGGAAGCGGCGACCCAGGCTTTTGAGAAGTTAAAGAAGGCTATGAAGAGCGTGCCAGTGCTGACATTACTTGATTTCGACCAACCATTCATTGTAGACGTGGATGCTTCAGGCTATGGGTTTGGAGTAGTTCTCATGCGGTGTCAACGACCCATCGCTTACTTCAGTTAAGTTTTAACGAGGGCCAGACTGAAATCAGTTTATGGGTGGGAGCTCACGACAATTGTGATTGCCATTCAAAAATGACGATCTTATTTGTCGAAAATGTGTTTTACAATACACATAAATCAACACACCTAAATTTCTTTTAGAACAACGAATGGTGACTAAGGAATATCAGAGGTGGCTACTAAGCTACTGGGGTATGAAGTCGAGATTCAGTATCGTTCGGGATTAGAGAATAAGATTATTGATGCCTTATCACGGCAGGTGAAAGAACCTCAATTGTTGGCATTGTCAGTTCCTTTGGTTTTAGATTGAGAGGTTCTAAGGCAGGATAAATTGGCAGATGAAAAATTGAGCAAGATTCGACCAACTTTAGCGAATGGAGAGAGTAGCTATCATGGTTAGCCAATGATTAGTTGACCAAGAACACTATGTAATACCCTAGAATTCAATTACTGGTGCCTTATCACGACGGGTGAAGGAACCTCAATTGTTGGCATTGTCAGTTCCTTTGGTTTTAGATTGGGAGGTTCTAAGGCAAAGATAAATTGGCAGATGAAAAATTGAGCAAGATCCGGTTAGCTTTAGCGAGTGGAGAGAGTAGCTATCATGGTTAGCCAATGATTACTTAACCAAGAACACTATGTAATACCCTGTAATTCAAGGAACATAACAAAGTTATTACATGAGTTTCATGGCAACATTATATGGGGGCGTTTGGGCATGCTCAAAACATATCAGAGGATACCGATATAATTATATTGAGTGGGAATGAGAAAGATGTAGAGGACATGATATGATTTCAAGGTTTGATGTGTGTCAACAACACAAGTACACGGCCTTAGCACTTGGGGGGTTGCTACAAACTCTAGCGTTACCAGAAAAGATGTGGGAGGAGGTGACGATGGATTTTATTGAAGTTTTACCTCGGTCTAAAGGATTTACAATCATCTTCGTGGTGGTGAATTGGTTGAGCAAGTATATGCACATTTTATACCTCTGTCGTCTCTACTGTGTTGTTTCTATCGTCATGGATTTTATACTGGAGGTTGTTCGTTTGCATGGGATCCTTGAATCGATAGTGTAACATCGAGGCAATGTATTCTTGAGTTATTTCTTGAGGGAGCTGTTTAGAATGCAAGAGATCATATTGAAGAAAAATACAACATATCACTTGCAGACTCACAAATAGACAAAAATTGTTAATTAGAGCTTGGAGACCTATTTGTGTTGCTTTGTATTCGACACACCCAAGCAGTGGGTGAAATGTATACCTTGGGCATAGTATTGGTACAATTCATTATATACAACTTCTTTGACCACCCCTTTTAAAATTTTGTATGTTCTTGATCCACCTCACTTGGTGCATTATGAACTTAGTACTACGTTGATGTTTCTGATGAATCAATACTTAGAAGAGAGAGAACAGATGCTGGCGAAATTGAAGAAACATTTATTGAAAGCACAACAACTTAATAAGAAACAAGCCGATGGATATCAAAGGGATGTGCAATAGGAGATATGGTGTATTTAAATTTCGGCCCTATTAACAGAAGACATTGATCAGTTGCAATAATGAGAAGTTATGCTCACACTATTTTGGGACTTATGAGATCACATCGCACAGTGGTGAGGTTGCTTATCGTCTAAAATTTTCTCTTTCGTCGACACTTCATCCAATTTTCCATGCATCTCAACTAAGATGCGCTATTGGTGATAATGTGTCGTCTTCTTCACTACCCTCTTCTTTGATTGAGGATATGGAAGTTCTCCTGGAGCCACTGGAAGCTAAAATGGGTGTGTCAGGAATTGACATATGAGAAAGAAGTATTGATTAAATGAAAAGGGTTAGTAGATTTTGACGTCATGTAGGAGCTGTAAGACTTCAACAGTTTCCTCTTTTCCATATTGAGGATAAGGTGTTTTATTGAGAGAGGAGTAATGTTAGATCGATATCGACGACACTTTTCGCCATGACAAGCCCGCCAATTAATTTATAAATTTATTTTAGACGTAAGACTAGAAGAGTAGTTTAGTCATGTATTATTATTATTTTTTGGTATAAATAGTCTTATTATGTTTAGGGTTGGGCAAGTTTGTTATTTTTGTTTGGAGTTTTAGGATTTAGGGTTTGGGAGAGCTCGCCTATCCCTTGAATTGTAGGTGGTTATGATATCAGAACTAGTACGAAGAACAGTGGAATACAATCTTTTTTTTTTTTTAATGTAACTGCAACACGACTCGAATATAAAGGAAATACAATAATAGATGAATGCCCCGGTTAGTGAGGTAGAAAGATGTCCGAAGGCGGTTGTGGCATCGACAGGTTGGTAGGGCATGATGAGAGATGTCGGGGAGTTGTTTGAGTAGTTATGATGGTGTTTGGTTGGTTTTAGGTAGGTAGGGCAGCAAGGTTATATGGGATGTATGAGTGGCAATAGAGCGGTGGAGGCGTACGGGGGCGGTAGGCAACTAGGGGAGAGGTAGGAAAAGGGGGTCGATGAGAAGAAGCGAAGGAGATTGGAAGCTTACAACACCTCGGAGCAGAATACGACCGAAGCACTACCTGGAGAAGCTCCGCGCAGGAGATTAGATGACAACTCCATTAGAACTGACTTTTCACACACAGGAAAACAATTTATAAGCACCCCCCAAGGAAGGCAAGAAGAATCCAAAAAAAAAACCCCTTCTCAGAAAAGACGGGTGAAGCAGCCCACTCTGGATCGCAATAGTTCGTGATCCACCTCCATTCTTTGCATGCGGAATCACGATCTACCCCACCCCACTGTCAATGCGTCGCATTGCGGGGTTTCTGGCCTCTGCGGGAATGAAGGTGGATCGCGAAGAGATAGGGGTCACGGTAATGGACCAATAAAAAAGAACATCACACAAAGATTCCACCCCTATCATCTTTGAGGATATTATGATACCCTCTATAAATTAGTTCAAATTAAGGGATGAAGTAAATTTGGAAATGACTTCTAATTCAATATTATAGAGGATAAATGAGTTCTAAATCATTTGCGAGTTAGACGCTAAGGAGGACAAAGCCCATCCGAACAGCAACGCAATGGCAACATTTATTTGTCTTTACTTTTAAAAGTAAAGGTATAAATTTTATACATCTCAATGTGAAGGGCTTCACCATTACTTATTCGAAACTTTGCGGTAGAGTTAATGCACTTTTGTTGTTTGTAATGGAGCAGGATTCATAATCTCAAATAGTTGGGATCCTATTGGTTGTCATTGTATGGCCAAAATATGATCATAATAGGATTACGAGGCATCAAGACAGGCTTTTCGGGTTTTTCAGTCTGATTCTTTGATCCAAGATCAACGACTTGTCGGGTATGAGCTACGGTGTATGAGCTATTGAGGTTAGATTACTAAACGATGTTCCCCTCCATAGGTTAAGTTCAAGGAGTCTATTTGATAGTACATCCCGAAATCGCTATGTAATATCAGATCAATCCTACCAGTGAAGATACAACTTGCTTCGAGGATGAATTGGTCTTGAGACAAACTCTCACAAGGGTTGATCGTATTGGCAGGGATGTGACCCGCGAGTGCGCAAGTAATAAAAGGTGAAATGCAACATCATCAGAGGATAATGTGCAAGAGATAATATTAATTATATAACGATGTCGGAATAAGAAAAAAAGAATAGCCAGAGATCCCTATAGGTCTATTGTAACGATCGCTTATGTATATTAATAATGTGCCATAAATAATATTAATCATATACCAATGTCAGAACAAGATAAAAGAGGATAGTCAGAGATCCCTAGAGATTTATATGTAATGATCACTTATATATATTATATAGAAAAAAATTATTTATATAAAATCAAAAAATTAATGCAATAAGGGGTGTGGACATTTGGACCCCGAAAATGGTGCAACCCAATTTACCCCAAATAAGCACAACAAACTCTTATCTTCAACATGTTCTTTTCTTGTTATCCAGCTCTTTTTATGAGGTGTTTAGCTACGCTCATATCAGAATTCAATAGTCTTGTGTCTATGATGATGATTGTAGAAATCGATGCAATCGAGTTCATGCTGTATCTATTGCACTATTTGTTTTCTTAATATGCCTTAATCATATTTTCGCGAGAATCATTTCTGCCGTACATTTTACATCTTATTGCAAAACTTTTAGTTGTAATTTTTCGTGCTTGTGTAGCCCTTCGTGCGGCGGTTCAGGCATTCCTTAGGGAGGAAGAGTCGCATTCCTTAAGATTGTCGAAACGAAGAAGGGACAGATTTGAACAGGTAAGCTGTTTCCATCAGTTCTAAATTGTATTTTTTATTCATTTTCAGGGCCATTTACATGCATACCCCACAATTCCTACATATTTACATATATAACACCTAAAATTTACTCTTTTTTACACTAATGCCAACCCAAATCTTTCTTATCACATCAAAATGGCCGTCATTAGGTTTTAGATATATAAATACATAGGAATGCAGTGGTATGTATGTAAACCTTCACTTTTTCTCGTATTATCTTGTGCAAAACTTCCTTTATTCCATTTGCAATTTCTATTTTGCAGGATAAATATAATTATGATGATCAACCTTCCATGGATTCACGAAGTAGAGGCGTTCAGTTTCCATTTAATGTGTCAGACCGGGTTATTATAAAGGTATGTCCAGAACTTCTCAATAGTCCCAGCTCTCAATTCTCTGCTGAATTAAATATTTTCAGGGAAACAAGAGAACGCCTCAGCGATTTGTTGGAAGGTTGGCAGTTGTGACTACACAATGCCTAAATGGATGGTTAGTTGTCAGTTCATTTCATTTTTGGGACATCTCATAAAGACCACCCGAAACATTGATATTTACAAATTAACCCCCAGATGATGAGAATTTGATAAAAATGAAAGATATGGGTTGGGGTTTTACCGTGACTTTTGATAGTTGAGTGGGAATTTGAAAAATAGACGAAAGAGGATGGTTGATTTGTAAATAGCACTTTACGAGTGGTCTGTCTGTAATTGCTCCCTTTATTTATTTTCTTATTTTACATCCTTATAATTAATTTATTTACCTCATACACCTGTAGTGGAAAATATAGTAGAATCAGCACGATAAACTGCATAGCATGACTGATCTAAATTTAGATTCAACTGTCCATCTTCATCTGTTTTTGCTCAACACCTCATAATTCTATGTATTTACACATCTAACAATCAATCCTTTTTTTATTTTTCGAATGATGAGAAAGAAGATTTACATACATACCACTCAATTCTCATATATTTGCATATCTAACTCCTATGTCCTTATCTATGCATAAAAAGTTGTATTTTTTATTTGATTTGAAAGATTTGGGTGGTATAAATGTTAAAAGTAAAGTTTAGTGATTGAATATGTAAATACGTAGGAATTGGGCGGTATGTATGTAAATGTCCCTATTGTCTATTAACAAGCAATTAAGTCAGCTAAATCAAAACTAAAAAAGTACCTGGGAAAAAAAGTAAAAAGAACAAAAAGTAGTTTGGATAATTACACACAGACCGCACGAAACATTGATATTTACAAATTAACCGTCCTGGTGTTGTTTTTTGAACCACGGAACCGTTGTATTTACACGTGTCACGGTCAAACTATTGAGAATTTGTAAATAGGAAGTTTCGGGTGGTCTCTATGTAATTGCCCTGAAGAATTTTCATGCAACTTCTCAGGTATGTTGTGAAGACATTGGATAATGCTGAGAGCGTCAAGCTCCAATATCGCTCATTATCGAAAGCTCCAGAAAATTCCTCAAATCCTATTGCAAATAAACCAATCTCTTCAAATTGGCTGTAACAAATTAGTATTGCAGAAAGCCCCCCCAATTTTCAAAATTTGGGATATGTGGTCTATATGATCCTTACAGATCTGTACAAATTTGGAGCACTGAAGCAAAGTGGGTGTACATTCCAGGTGAGCAGTTTCATCACTGTTATGTATATGTTACCTCAGAATCTGTCTTGAAAACTAATGTATAAACTGTGTTTTTTTTTTATTTAATGAAAACAAATCATATATATATATTTCCAGAAATTTGGATATTTTTTTATTTTTATGGAATGGCTAGAGGCTAGCTATTATACGAGCCTCAAGTTATTTCTAATCTGCCTAATAATTCGAGTACCACCTCTTTTAAGGCCAACTGTGCCAGAGGGGGCTCGAACCCCTGACCTTAGAGATCTTACTCCGAGGATGCCAACCAACAGGCCAAGGTACGTGACACAATTTGGATAATTGGAGAGTGAGAGATTGAATGTTAATTATGGATGAGTTTATTTTTGGGGCATTTGCATGTATGTACATACAACCCAATTTCTCTATATTTACATATCAAACTTTACATGCATATCATTCACTATTATAACTTTAAAAAAAAATGGTGAAAAGTATCTTTCCATGTAGAGTGTATGTCAAAGTTGAAGTTTAGCTTGTATTTTAGATATGTAAATATATAAAGATTTGAGTGGTATTTATGTAAATCTTTCTTTATTTTCTTAAGGTTATATAAGAGTCAAGTGGCAGAATAATCTTGCCTATAATCTTGACTATCAGATCATTTTAGTCCTAGAGTTTTTAGAAGTGTCAAAATAATTTAGAAGTATTTTAAATTTAAGATATAATAATGTTCTTACCACCCAATTTATGTATATGTACCAATCAAACTTGGCATACATACATTTACTATCTAAAAAAAAGGATGATATATTTTTAGTTGTGGCATATATGTAAAATAGATTGGAAATGAGTGGTATTTATGTTAATCTTCCTTTACTCTTTTTAAGTTTATAAAAGACTAAAGTGCTAAAATAGGCTATTTACATGGGTCATTTTAGTTATATAGTCTATAGGAGTGTAAAAATAGTCATTAATTACTTTAAAATTGAGGTTTAATTGTTCTTTATGGGCATTTTTTTTGTCCCAATATAAAGATGAGGACTATTTTAACACTCATATAAATTCTAGTACTAAAACACTTCCATATAAATACTCGAAAATTATTTTGGCCCTTGGTTATATAATGTGTTGGGAATTAGGGCTGTAAACTAGCCAAGCCTAACCGAACTAGGGCTGGGCTCGTGTTCTGCTCGTTCAAAATTGGCTTGTTTAAAATAACTCGTAGAAAGTGTGTTTGTTTTATGCTTGATTTTATTATTCGTGCTTGTGTTTAACTCAAAATTGACTCATTAGATTAAAAAAATATTATAATTATTATTTTTTAAAATAAAATTAAAATAATAATTTTGTTAAAAAAATAGTTTGCATCATTTTTTTTTAAATTTTGAGTTATAAAACATTGATTAACTTAAAAAAAACATTGATTAAAGTGAGTTTACATTTATAAAATTGCACTGTTACATATACACTTGTTATTTATGTTCACCTAAAAATTCAAAAAAAATATATTAAATTTAAATTGTGACTTGTATTTATGCCTCGATCTTTATGTTTAATGATCCAATAAGTAGTGATTAGTAAATGATAATGAGTCGATAATGATTTTGTAACTGCAATTCTTATGTATTAGAAAAAAAAGTAGCAAATTAGAAACAAAAATAGATTAGAAGTAAAAAAATGCAATTATTAATTGAGGCTTGGATTATACATTATGAACTCATTTCATCACTTTCATGTAAATTAACTATACGGTTGCACAGTTTATACGACTTCAAAACATAGTGAAATTGGAGTTAGTATACAAGATATTAATTTAAATTCTAAACAAAAACCATTATAACCCTCCATTATGGTTTGCATAGGTGTTGTCTTCCAAAGTGTAAAATGGTAAGAAAAATAGGCTTAGGCAACTTCATTTATTCTCATCTTCAAAATGGTTGCAAACACATATGCCATACCAATAATGAAATTTTTGGTAATTATCATAGCTTCTAATAACATCTAAACTAAATACAAAATATAAATAAGAAATAATGGCATAAAAACCTTACAGATCTGTACAAATTTGGAGCACTGAAGCGAAGTGGGTGTACATCCAAGGTGAGCAGTTTCATCGCTTTTATTTATATGGTTACCTCAGGGTCTCCTGTTTTGAAAAACTAATGTATAAAGTTATACGAGTATCCAGTCATTCTTAATGTGCCTAACAATTTGAGTACCACCTCCTTAAGGCCAAATGTGCCAGAGAGGATTCGAGCCCCCGACATGGAGCGCTTATTCTGTACGGAACCCGTACCTACGCCACCCAATCATTTTGTGCCACGTAATTAACATCATTTTTAAAAATTTATAAATTTTTAAAGTGGGCCCACTTTCATACAGCTTTTAAGGGTGAGATTGATTTTTATTGGGTGACAGTGGGGTCTTACCTCAAGGATGCCAACCAACGGACCGAGGTACGCGACACAATTTGGATAATTGGAGAGTGAGATTGAATGTTAATGAGTTTATTTTAGGGGCATTTGCATACTCATACATACCACCCAATTTCTGTATATATACATATCAAACTTTACATGCATATCATTCACTACTATAACTTGAAAAGGAGGGAAAAAGTATCTTTCCATGTGGCATGTATGTCAAAGTTGAAGTTTAGCTTGTATTTTAGATATGTAAGCATATAAAGAATTGAGGGGTATTTATGTAAATCTTTCTTTATTTTCTTAAGGTTATATAAGAGTCCAGTGCGAGAATAATCTCGACTATTTATATCAGATCATTTTAATCATAGAGTTTATAGAAGCGTCAAAATAATTTGCAATTATTTTAAATTTAAGATATAATATACATACCACCCGATTTTTATATATGTACCAATCGAACTTGGCATACATATCATTTAAATATCTAAAAAAAAAGTGATATATTTTTGTTGTTGTGGCATATATGTAAAAATTTAAATTTATGTTGTAGATGTATAAAAAGATTGGAAATGAGTAGTATTTATGTTAATCTTCCTTTACTCCTTTCAAGGTTATAAAAGACTAAAATGCCAAAATAGTCTTGGTTATTTACATGGGGTCGTTTTAGTTACAGATTTTATAGAAGTGTCAAAATAGACATCAATTATTTTAAAATTGAGGTTTATTTGTTCTTTATTGGGAGGATTTTTTCCGTCATGATATAAAAAAAGTGTGAGGATTATTTTGACACTTGTATGAACTTCAGTACCAAAATGCCCTCATATAAATAGTCAAAAATTATTTTGACACTTGGCTACATAATGTGTTGGGAATTAGGACTGTAAACGAGCCAAGTCTGATCAAGCTTAAGCTCGGCTCGTGTTTGAAATAACTCGTGAATAATGTGTTCGTATTCAGCTCAATTTACTTATTTGTGTTCTTGTTCAGCTCGTAATTAGCTCGTTAAAATAAAAAAAATATTATAATAATAATTTTTTAAAATAAAATTAAAATAATAATTTTGTTAAAAAAAATAGTTTGCATTAATATTTTTATTTTGAACTATTATACATTGATTAACTAAAAAAATTTTCAAAAATAAATTTAATACAAAATTTTTCACAATAAGAATGTCAATGCTTTTTGGCAATTCTTATGTATTAGGAAAAAAAATAAATTAAAAGTAAAGATATAATTATTAATGGAGGCTTGGATTATACATTATGAACTCTTTCATCACTTGCATGTAAATCAACTATATGGTTTCACAGCTCATATGACTTCCAAACATAGTGAAATTCGAGATAATATATAAGACATAAACTTAAATTCCAGACAAACAACTGTAATCGTTCGTTATGATTTGCATAGGTGTTGTCTGTCAAAGTGTAAAATAGTAAGAATAATAATCTTAGGCAACTTTATTTATTCTTATATACAAAATAGTTGTAAACACATGTCTTACCAATAATGAAAATTTTATAGTCTTCATAGTCCCTAATAACATCTTAACTAAAGATAAAATATAAAGAAGAAATGATAGCTTAAAAACCTTGCTCCCAACACAAGTGCAAAGCAAGTGAACCAACAGATTGTCAAAGCAAACCAAACCATTGCACAAGTCCCAAAGAAGGTGCAAAACAAAATTTTACTTGTTTCATAAAACATAAACCAAGCAGTAATTGAGAGATTTTATCCCAGCAAAATTGAAATGCTGCCAACCAATTCAAATAAGATGGCAACATGAAAAACCAAACAGTAAGGATTCTTACTAGGGCCGTCAATTTGGCTCGTTGTCCGTGAACAGCTCGTGTTCGGCTCGTTCGTTAAGCCTAACGAGCCGAACACGAATAAATATTTAAGCTCGAAATGTAAACGAGCCGAACATGTCCGACAGTTTGTTCGCTCGTGTTCGGCTCGAAATGACTCGAAAAAAAAATTATATAAATTTTTATATAATAATATATTACATATATTATTTATATAATAATATATTATATATATTTATGTCTAAGTTTAAATCATAACACCTCATATGACAATGTGGTTAGTGTCTTCTTTTGTATAGATTTGATTCAGGTTCGAATCTAACACTTTACATCTATTTTTCTCAATTTTAGTTTAACGAGCCAATTTCGAGCCGAACACGAACACGAATATTTAAATCGAGCCGAACACGAACACACGCTATTTCGAACGAGCCGAACACGAGCCAAGCCTGAGCTCGCTCAAGCTCAGCTCGTTTACAACCCTAATTCTTACCAAACAAGATAGTTTTTTTCTTAATCTAAGTTAATGAATCATGTTATATGATAATGCATCATTATAACTGAAAAACAACAAAAGAAAAATACCACTATAATCATTAATTAACTCATAGAAGCTAATGATTTGGGGCAAATCACTCATTAAGTAAAAGATTTGGGCCATCCAAACATGTTAAAGGATTCCATCCCACATGAAACCTTCCTTTAAGTAAGGCAGAACAATTTTATCTAAATTAGTAAGCTCTTTAAGCTGCAGGGATCATATTTAAGAGCTTTGTACCACAAGTAGAGTTAGTATCATGTTCAGAAAAGAGTAAATGTCAAGGGAAGCACCCAATACACAGGTGCATGAATCAACTGTGAATTCCTCTTCAATAGAAAAGGTAACATAGTTGAGTGAAACAGTATTAGCGGCACTAAGATATATACCACCCAATTCCTATGAACTCACATATCTAACGACTATACTTTTTTACATTTATACTGCCCAAATGCTTCATATCACATAAAAAAAGTACCACTATTTTGACTTTTGAAGGGTGAAATACATTTTTTATGCATATGTAAGGTGGCACATATTTAAAAATTGAAGTTTAGGTGTTAGATATACAAATACATAAGTATTGAGTGGTCTGTATGAATGTAAATATTC